AGGGCCTAACTTTTGTTCACATATATTTTCAGTGAAACTGGTTTCCTGCCCAGTTTCTACTGCTTTTCACAGCTGAGAAGTTCCAAATATCCAGGGCTATTAATATCATTCTCCCTGGGGAAGATTGACTATTCTATATTCCACAGTTATTCCCACCCAATATGTTTAGAATTATATTTATTATCTTGTTTACTAAACTTTTCCTCTTTAGGGACATTCAAGTTTAGTTTGTAATAGGACCAACTACCCAGTCACACTAGTGTGAAAACTGAAAGTCATCCTTAATATCACCTACAGGTTATTGCAAGTTCAAACTAGGATATTTCTAGTTCACACACCGCATCTCTTACACAGATTAATCAATAATTTTTTATGATGGTTAATGTTATGTGTCAACCTGGAGTATGTTTTTTTTTATGAGATGATCATTTAAATCAGTGAACACTAGAGAAAGATCGCCTTCCATAATGCAAGTGAGCCTCATCCAAACAGGTGAATGCCTGAACAAAACAGAAACATATAAACAAACAAATAAACAGACAACAGTCTCCCTAAGCAAGAAGGAATTCTCCAGAAGATGGCCTTTTCAAATTCATCTACACCATCACTCTCCTAGGTCTCCAGGATACCAGCCTTCAGACTGAAACTATGCCATAAGCTCTTCTGGATCTCAAGCTTGCTAACACATACTACAGATTTAAAATTGCCAGTTCTATAATCATGTGACCCAATTCCATACAATGTTTCTATATATAGTTGTATATCACTTAATAAAAAAATATATCCTGAGAAATGCATTCTTAAGAAATTTTATGTATAAATATCATAGAGTATATACTTACATAAACTAATTCAGCTATGACATCAGTAGGAAAATTAATTTATGAGATTACCATTGTATAATGCAGTCCATTGTTAAATAAAATATTATTATGTGGTACATGACTGTACACACATACTATTTGTTCTGTTTCTCTGAAGAAACCTGAATAATACAGATGATTTTATTGGTAAGTATGGTGTTGCCATAAAAATATACTGTAAAATATGGAAATGGATTTGTAATTAGATGGAGGATGAAAGAGTTTTGAGGCATATGGTAGCAAATGCCTAGATTTGCTTGCTGAGACTGTTGTTAAGTATATGGACATTAAAGATGATTGAATGGTGAGTTCTCAGATGTAAATGAGGAAGGAACTGTGGTCCATGTCATAAAGCCAAAACCTTGGCTGAAATATGTAATAGTGTTTTATGAAAGTTGAAGTTTAGAATGAATGACCTTGGATAGTTGGTGGAAGATATTTCTAGTTAAAATGTTGAAAGTGTGCCCTGGTTTCTCCTTATCATTTGTAGTAAAATGTAGGACACATAGACCAACAGAATAGAATAGAAGATACAGAGGTAAAACCATACACATATAGTAATCTGATTCTCGACAAAGGTGACAGAACATATGTTGGAGAAAAGACAACCTTTTCAACAAATAGTGGAAGAAAATCTGGATATCCGTATGTAGAAGAAGGAATCTAGAGTCCCTATTTCTCACCCTTCACAAACGTCAACTCAGAGTAGATCCAAGACCCAGGAATTGGGTCAGAAACTCAGAAACTATTAGAAGAAATCATATGGTCAACACTTCAACACACAAAGCATGCATCAACTTCCTCAATGATTCCTAAAACTCAGGAAATAACACCAAGAATTAATAAATGGGATTGTATTAAATTAAGAAACTTCTGCATAGCAAAGGAAACAAGAACATAAAGAAAAACTCTACAGAATCAGATAATCATTGCCAATTACTCTTCTAACAGAGAATTAACATCCACAATACGCAAAAACCTCATAAAATTTAACACCAAAAAAAAGAAGAAAAAGTAAAGAATAACCTAGTAAATAAATTGGCAAATGAAGTAAATAAATATTTTCCAAAAGAAGAAATATAAATGGTCAAAAATATGGAAAAAAATGTTTAAAATTTTAGCAATCAGGAAAATGCAAATCAAAACTGCAGTGAGATTTTTATCTCAGTCTACTTGGAATGGCAATTATCAAGAATGCAAGTTTGGGTGAAGATGAGGGGAAAAAGGAACACTTATACCCTGTTAATGGTATTGTAAATTAGTACATCCATTATGAAAAATAGTATGAAAGATTCTCAAAAGACTGGGAATGTAACAACCATATGACCCATCTATACCACCTTTCAATATTTATCCAAAAGAATTAAAGTCAGCATACTATAATAATTCATGCATACCCATGTTTATAGCAGCTAAATGCACAACAGTCAAGTTATGGAAAGTCCAAGTTTTCATCAATAGAAAATGGATAAAGAAAAAGTGATATATATACACAGTGGAATTTTACTCAGCCATAAAGAAGGTTGAAGAATTTCCTATATACAAAAATGAACAGAAAAGAAGAAGATCATGAAAAGTAAAATAAATCATATTTAAAAAATCAAGAGCTGTATGTTTTCTCTCAAATATGGAATCTAGACAGAAAAAGCAGGGGTCAGAGGCAGATCTCATGAAAATAGATGTGACACCAGTAGAATATAGGATAGGTATTAATTAGGGGAAAGGAGGAAAGGAAGGAAGGGAAAGGTGAAGGAAATAGACCAAGTTATGCTATTTGCAGGTACAAATAACAATTAAGCCTACTATTATATAGAATATAATATAATTCACTGATTTTTTTTTAATGCAGGAGGAGAAAGATAAATAAAAAGAATTATTAAGCAAAAAAAAAAAAAAGACCTAGAATCTGAACATTTGGAAAACTATCAGCCTATTGGACAAAATGAAAAAGTGGGTTCTAAGAGAACACCAAAAGTCTGACTAGACAATCAAAGAAATTACTTGTGGCTTTAATCGAGATAATAGCAAGTCCTGGGAATAGAAATAGAATTATACCAACAGAGCTGCTACCAGTTTGGACTAAAAGGAACAGAGATGGGGTGAAGTAAAGGAAGACTTTCCAAAGTCTGAGATTTATAGGATAGCTATAGGATATAAGAATGCCTTATCTTTCCAAGAAAGGAAAGAAAGATGCTAAAGACAATTCTGAGACGTGCAGGACTCACACTGTCCCTAGAGGGCACAGATATGGATAATAAGACCACATCCTCCTTTGTTTCACTAGGCCAATCTATAAACTTCCAGTGCCCTAGAAGCCAGGTTTCTATTCAGAAGCATGGGAGAGGGCTGTTGCTGGGACCATAGAAAGAACACAGCTTGCCACTGAAATAGTGGACCAAAAAGAACTTTCTATCAAAAAAAAAATGATTTCCAAGAATTAAAATCATAATAGAATTTGTTATACTAGGTATTATATTTGGTTAGCACCCATCACCCTTTCAGTGTCTCCTTTTTGGAAGGAAAATGTTGATCCTGTGCCTGACCCACCATTGTATTTTGAAAACACATCACTTTTGGGGGTTCATGGATTCATAGAAGGAAAATAGTTTTATCCCAGGGTAAACCATACTTTGAGTCTTCCTCATCATTGACTTAATAATGTTTACATAAGACTTCAGACTTATAATCTATGCTAGAATGGGTTAGATTTTTGAGATTGTTTTAGGATGGGAAGACTACATTTTCATATTAGAAGGACATAAATTTTGGTGGTTTGACAGCAGAATGCTATGGAATGAATTGTGGTTCTATGGCTGAATTTTGAGAGAAAAATTTTATTGAAATTTTTTCTTTCTTTTTTTTTTTAAAGATGAAAACATATGGGTAAAGACCTAATCTAATGGGATTGGTATCCTTATAAGAAAAGGATGGTATCAAAGATAAGAAAGCATAGAAACGAAGCCATGTGAAAGTGAGCAGGAAGTAAGAAAGCAAAGAGAAGCCTCAGAAGAAATCAAACTTGCCAATACCTTGACCTTGGGTGCATCCTCCATAATTGTGAGAAAATAAAATTTTGTTGTTTGAGTCCCTCAGTCTATAGTATTCTGCTATATCAGCCTTAGCAGACAATGAAATTCCCAAAAGAGTCTCCCTGACTTTCATTTCACCACTCTTCAATTATATATCCAGAGTACTTATAAGCTGATCCTCTTCAAATGTAATTTAGATAAATTCTCTTCTGAGCTAAAAATATTTGAATGTCCAGACCTGTCTACTGGGTGACTTTCAAAGTATGCGGTGTGGCACAGAAGACTCGGTAGACTGTGCTTGCCTTCCCAAAGTCATCCCCTGCCCAAACCAGGCAGTGAACCATTGATCAATAGACCAATAAATGCAACTACTTGTCTTTATCCTAAATTGTGATGATTATCCAAAGGGCATATTATCACTCCTTCGTGGATTGACTCTGCCCCAGTCAACTTATGAAACTGCCACTCATTTTCAAATACCTTTCAGAGAGTTTTCTCCATTAAATTTTGACCTTCTTGGACTATGCCCCCTTCTTAGTTTTCACTTTGAGATTGGTCTTATTAAATTGCTGAGGTTGCCTTTGAACTTGCAATCCTCCTGCCTCAGCCTCCCAAGCCACTGAGATTGCAGGCCCACACCACCATGCATGGGTAGAAGCATAATTTATTTGTTTACAACTGCTCCCTTTCAGGTCTTTGAAGACCATATTGTTTTCAATGAAATGCTTTGAGTTTGTCATTAACTCAGTTGATGGCCACTGTCTCCAACAGTAAACACAGGCCTGACAAAAAAAAAAAAAAAGAGCACTAGCAGGTTATCCAGCGGCATAGGTTCTTCCAGATGGCCTCACTGTTAAGGTTTGAGTTGTGGGAAGTGATATGATGGCACAACTAGAATGTAAAATTTGAGTTGTCAGTACTTCCAAACCCTGGAGGGTGCATGGCATGCCTCACATTCACACAATGGCAATTAGGGAGCACAGATAGGGAAAGAGCAAAGAGCATGTGCATAGCTTCTGGCATTGCATATAAGGGAAAAGAGTGTGGGTCACTGGGTTAGTCATCTTTCTGATTTATGGGACAACATACTGAAAAAAACATAACTTACAGGAGGAGAGATTTGGTTTGATTCACAGTTTCAAAGTTTTCGGTCAATGGTTGGCTGGATCCATTGCTTGGGACCTGAGGTGAGAAAGAACATCATGGTAGAAGTATGTTGTGGAGGAAAGCTGTTCACCTAACAGCAACAAGCAAGCATAGAGAGAGCAAAAGGAAGAGTCCAGGGATAAGATGTACCCACTAGGGCACATCCCCAGTGACCTATTTCCTCCAGTTAGGCTCTACCTCCTATGATTGTTACCACTTCCCAATAACACCATCCAATTATTTATCCCTCATGAATCATTCACTTCCCCAAAGCCTCAACTCTCAACACTGCTGCTCTGGGAACTAAGTCTCAATACATGTGTCCTTTTAGGAATTTCCAGATCCATAACATTGAAGATCAAAATATTCCATCATGACCCCCGAAGGCTCATGTGTTAAGGACTTGGTCCCTGATGCAGCAATGTTCAGAGATGGGACTTTAGGAAGGTGATTGGTTCATGAGGGTTGTGAACTCATCAGTGAATTAATCCATTGGTGGTTTAACAATTTCATTGCATTATTCAGAGATGGTGGAAACCATAGGAGGTAGAGCCTAGTTTGAGGAAGTAGTTCCCCAGGGATGTGCTCTGGTAGAGTATATCTTTTGCTCAATCCTTTCTTTTCTCTCTCTTTGCTACCATCTGCCATATCTACCACCACCTTCTATTATAATATTCTGTCTTGCCTCAGGCCCAAAAGAGTGATGCTGGCTGACAATGGACTAAAACATGTAAAGCCATGAAACAATATAAATCTTTCCTGCTCTAAGTTGTTTTTCTCAGGTATTTTGTCCCAGTGATGAAAAACAGACTAACATAGTTCCTCTAAGATCTCAGGCAAATGCTTGAGTGGTCCACTAACAAGAAGTGTTGGGGAACTGAGCAGCCCAGTCTGTCAGGCTGCAGTAATAACTTTAAGAAGGTTTAACTCATTACAATGGCTTGAGCCATTTTGGTGTGGTATTTTTGTGCACCCTGCTCTGGTGCAGGGAAAGAAAGAGGGAGACCCATAGGCCTTACTGGCTCCAGATATCTCTAACCCCAAAATTTACTGGAGATCAAATTAAAATTTTTTTAAATATATGTTTTAAATTTATTTGAAGAGAAAGAAGGATGGTAGAGTGTAGCTAGGTTGTTATCCCTGACTTTTCCATGGCACAAAAAGTATTCAGTGATAGAACACTTGACCAGAGACAACTTTACTACAAGTTTATAACTGGATTAAAGGCAAAAAATGTCAACAAATTTTTCATTTTTAATAAGGTTAATGTGTCCCCAAGACACATTATATTGAAAATGCCTAATATACATGGTTTTGTTTGGAAGTGATTGTAGCAAATGGCATTCAGTGTCATGTCTCAAAGTGGTGATTATACTGGGAACAGCAGAAGACACACATTGAGTGAGAATATAAATACTTGAATGATTACCCAGCCTGAAGATCTTAAGAGAAAGAAGCTCAAGAAATAGTCCCTTGCATAAAAAAAGAAGTGATAATCATCTCAACAGATGGGTAGCATACAAGTAGGATGAAAAAGCAAGGGAACAAACCATCCCAAATAGCCCACAACATTTAAAGAACTGACTTCATTGACACCACAGTGAAAGAAATGTCAGAGAAAGAACTTAAAAGTTCATAGTTAAAATTTTCAAAGAAATAAAAGAAGATGAAAGGAATGAAATTAGAGATAAAATATAGGAAGTGAAAGATCATTTTAATAAAGAGTTAGCAATTCTGAAAAAGAACCAAATGAAGATTCTGGAAATGAAAGATTCAATAAATCAGGTTAAAAATCCAATTGAAAATATCACCAATGGATAAGACTACTTTTTAAAGACAGATTTTTCAGGTCTTGAAGATAAAGTATATAATCTTAAAAATAAAGTTTACAATAAAAAAAGATTAAGAGACCAAGACCAGAAAATAGTCAAGAAATCTGAGCTAATACCAAGATATCAAATTTAAGAGTTATTTTGAGTAGATTTAGCCTCCTAAATACAAACTAAAGGAATGCACAGTCTCTTCCATGAAATAATATTAGAAAAATTTCCACATCTTAGGAACAAGATGAAAATCCAAATACAAGAAACCTATAGGACTCCAAATACGCAAGATCAAACAAGATCATCTCCAAAACACATTATAATGAAAATGCCTAATATACAGTGCTAAGAGCCACAGCCAAGTAATATGATGCATGGCATTTTTGGTTGAAAGGTGACACCAGCTAGCCATTGATATGATTATGTTAAGATTTACATTCATATGAATATTGGACTCCTGCTGTCCACCTCGGCCTGCTAGGGACTCCTGGAGAGTTCCCATTGGTTGGGGAAGTGCGGTAGGAGGGATTTCCGGAGGAGGAACTTCCTCTTAGGATCCAGGAGAACACCGCGTGCGTAGATCGGGATTCTTCCCGGGGGTGTACAGGGCATTGGCAGCAGTTTCAAAAAATAAAGTTTGTTCCTGCTTGAGTGGCTCATGATTTTGTGCCTAGCCAGACTGCAGCAATACAGAATAAGGATAGAATTTTAAAGCTACAAGAGAAAAGTAGCTATTCACATTTCTAGGCAAACCAATCTGGTTATCAGCTAATTTTTCAACCCAGGTCCTAAAAGCCAGGAGGGCCTGAAGAGTATATCCCAAGCTTTGAAACTGGTGCTAAAAAGATTACTATATCCAGCAAAATTAGCCTTTGGAATTGAAAAGGAAATAAAAACCTTCCATGATAAGCAGAAATTAAAAGAATTCATAAACACTAAGCCTGGACCACAAAACATATTCAATTAAATATTTCATGAAGAGGAAATAAAAAATAAAACCAGCATAGGGATGAATTATGCTTGAAGAATAGTCAATTAAAGAATAATCAAATCTCAATTAAGCATTGGAAATAAGTGAAAATGCCAAGAAATAAAAATCATCTATAATAACTTTGAATAAAACTGTTGTAAGCACTTAAATCAAAAGACATAGATTTGTAAAGCAGATTAAAAAACAAGGTTCAATCATATGTTGTTTATAAGAGATAAGGATAAAGAAGGATAAACAAGAAAGGATAAACAAGCTTGATAAACCCTTAGTCAAAATAACCAAAAGAAAGAGGGAAAGGCCCAAACTAACAAAAAAAGGATAAAAAGAAAAGGAAATATTAATGCAAACACTATTGAAATCAGGAGTATCACTAGAAAATATTTTGAAATTTTATACACTAATGAGCTAGAAAATCTCAAAGACATTGACCAATTCCTGAAAGCATATTATCTACCCAAGTTGAACCATGAGGATATAGAAAACTTAATCAGATGAACATCAAGGAATGGAATTGAAGAAGCTATTAAAAAACCTTCTGACAATAAAAGCCCAGGACCAGATGAATTCTGAGCCAAGTTCTACCAGAACTTTAAAGAGCTAATACCAATCTTCCTCAAAGTATTACAAAAAAATAGAAAATAAGGAACATTGCCAAATTTATTTTATGAAGGCAGTATCACTCTGATACCAAAATCAAATAAAAACACATCAAAAATATAAAAATGCAGCTCAATATTCCTGATAAACACAAATGCAAAAATCCTAAATAAAATATTGGCAAAGCTCATTTAAAAACACATTAAGAAGATAGTGCACTGTGATCAGGTGGATTTCATCTCAGAGATGCAAGGTTGGTTCAACATGTGCAAATCAATAAATGTAATTCACCAATAAAGTTAATGGCAAGAATTACATAATGATTTCAACTGAAGCAGAATGAACATTTGACAAATACCAGCACCCATTCATGTTTAAAACACTAGAGAAAACTAGGAGTAGTTACCTCAATACTGTAAGGGCCATTTATGAAAAACTCAAGGCCAAGATCATATGGACTGGAGAAAACAAAGCATTTCCTTGAAAAACAGGAACAAGACAGGGCTGTCCACTCTCACAGTGCTATTCAATGGAGTCCTTGAAACTCTAGCTAGTGCAATCAGGCAAAAGAATGAAATTTTTTTTTAAGTTTTTTTTTTTTTATTGGTTGTTCAAAACATTACAAAGCTTTTGACATATCATGTTTCATACATTAGATTCAAGTTGGTAAAAGAATGAAATTAAAGAATACAAATAGAAAAAGAAGAACTCAAATTATCTCTGTTTTCAGATTACATGATCCTATATTTAGAAGACCTCAAAACTCCACCAAGAGCCTTTTACAGATGATGAACTTAGTAAAGTCAGAATACAAAGCCAATGTACATAAATCGATTGCTTACTTTCCTATACCAGAAATGAATCTGCAAAAAAAAAAAGAAATTTGAAAAACTACCCCATTCACTAAAACCTCAGAAAATAAAATATTTGCTAATTAATCTAATGAAGGAGATGAAAGACCTCAACAATAAACGCTATAGAACATTAAAGAAATTGAAGAGAACCTTAGAAGATAAAAAGACTTTCCACTTACTTGGGTAGGTAAAGTTAATATTGTCAAAATGGCCACACCACCAAATTTTGCTGCTAAAAGGATGGAACTTGAAAACATCATGGTAAATAATATAAACCAGACCCAGAAAGACAAGGGTCAAATGTTTCCCCTGATATACAGAAGCTAGACCAAATTAAGTTTGGGAGAAGGGGAGTAATTATATGAGCACAGAAGAGAGATCATTAGAGAAGAGGAAGAGGATTAAAGGGGAGGAAGGAGGATCAGTAAAAGAGAGAAAGATTGGAATGAATTTCTATGTACATATATGACTATACCACAATTAATTTCACCTTTATGTATATCTGTAATGCACTAATTAAACAAAACTGTAAATAAGTCTAAAAAATATCACTAGAGTAGAGGAAAGGGAACAAGAGGAAGGAAGAATAGAGGGAAAGAGATAGTACTGGGGACTTAACTACAGCAAATTATATTCCTTGCTTGTATGATTATGTCAAAATGAACCCTAATATTACATATGTCTAAGATAAACTAATAAAAGGAAGATAATTTTTCTAGAATTTAGAATAGTGAGATTAGCATGAATTGAGATGCAAAAGAAGCAAATAAC